CTACTGCAAGGAGGGCGTGCGCACAGAGTTGTACCCGTCTGCGCACAATGGGACACACGTGCAGACCAAGCCCCGCGCCCCGTGCGGACGGGACGTGCACACAGTGCGCATGTCCTGTGCTGGCCGCGCGTGGGGCATGCGATGCTCGCACGGGCAGGACCTTTCCCGCAGGCGTTTCTTGTGGGATTTTTGCAGTTTCTCCGTCTTTTTTTCCTAAAAATTTATTTTTTAAATAATAACGACAAAAATAAAATTTTTCTATGACAAAAATATAAATTTAAAAATTACTTAAATAAATTAAAAATATGAATTTAAAATACAAAATAAAATATTTATCGAAAAATTAAAATTACGAAATATCTAAAGAGTATAAGCGGTCTTAGGACTCGAATAAATAGGGGTTCACAATTACAAATTAAGCGCAAAGGTTTTCGAGGTGTTACATAATGCCTCTCCTTAATATCATTTCATAGGTGATGTGTTATCTCTATATAAAGGATATTGGCCTTGATATCAAGCAGAAATGCATTCTAAATCCACGTGATTATGGTATCGTGCATCTTATCCAATATTCCATTAAGGGCTCGGTCAGATTTATCGACTCATGTAGGGTTCTGTTTCTAAACTCTAGTTTGTTTTTAATTGATAGTGTGCGTTTCATGGATCTAGCCAATATGTAATAATTGTTGGCTTTGAGCAACTAAGAACTTGGAACTAGTCTTGGGCTTTCATTTATTCTGATATAATATGAATTATTAAATTCAAAGGGATCTAAAATCATCCTACTTGTTTGTAGAGTTTTGGTTACTAGTGGTCTAGTTCGAGTTTTCATTTTCTATCCCTAGCTACACTCTGATTCTATGTAATAAATTGATACTTAAATGTATAATCTCACTAGTAAGCAAGATTTATGAAGAAAACTAAAAGGAAAGATGAGAAAATATCTCAAATCTATTAGAGGGGAGTGAAGTAGGACCATCGTGTGAGAGAAAACCCTATTTAGGATTTTATAATCAGTCTAAAAAAATGAGAGTTCTAGAGAATACAATGTATTTATATCTTCAACAAAAATGGCACACTGTACACCATACTTGCTATATATCAGTATCCCTATGCGGGTTTGATAAAATATTGCATTGTAATCTCTATTGATTTGTGGGTTCAGGCACACAACCAGTTCCATTGGCCCAATATCCATTAACAAAAGAAGAGTAGAGTTTGGTGTTTTTTTTTTTTTTTAATGTGTAAGAAGGATATTGTGGATTGTTTCGTTGTATTTATTTATTAATTTTAGGATTTATTCTCATTTCTGCACATAAATATTTGATTAAATAATAAAACAAATTTACAGATTCATTCTTCTTGGTTCGTTTGTTAATTTTAGGGATCCATTTATTTCTTCACGTAAATCTTTTAGCTACCAGCTTCTCTCTCTCCCAATATTTGTATGTTTGAATATATATATTATTGGTTAAAGAAAAAAAGATTATAATACTACTTATTATAAACAAAAAGACTAAGCCGGATATTAATATACTGCAGCCACTAAAACCAAAAAAAATTAGTCAGTCACCGGGTTTTCTTTACGTCAAAATTATAATAATACACTTAAATTAAATAGATAATTTAAGAAACTAGTGAATGTTACTTTTTACTTGCTTTTTTTTTTTTTTTTAATAAAATTTAAATTCATAATATCTAAAATAAAATACTAATAGTTATCATGCTAATGATTTTAACAGCATATTTTAGTTGCTGACGTCGAATGGAAATAGTATTAAGTAACCAACTCAAACACCCCACTTGAGTTGATAAAACTTTTTTTTGGGAAGTGTGAAGGGTAAGATTTTCTTCTTATCTTATTTTAGTTACAAATAAATTTTTATGAATAAATTAAGACCACAAGTAAGTCATCTTATAGAAGAAGTTAACAAAAATATAAATTAACTTTGTCCAATTCCCAATTGGTAAAATTTTATTAGGATAAATAAAGTTTACTTTAGTAGGAAAATGTATTTTAAAGATTCTCTTGGAATATGATAAAAATAATGCACTCAATTGATGGAAAACTTGGGAAGTGAATATCATAAGCTTTTAGAACAATATATTTAAGAGAGTTTATGAGCATTTTATGTATAACCTTTGTCCTTTTCCATTTTATTTTTATTTTTAGTTAAACTCTATTGAATTTTTCTATGATATTTCATCAGTATTGCACATACTTATCATCTCTCTTCTTGTAAGGAAAAGGCAAATATCATATGAAACTCACTTCTATACGAGCAATATGAGATACCCTCTTGTTCCTTTCTATTTAAAACTAAGTAACTCATGGGAATATTATGAATTTGTTTAATTCTGTGCATAATTAGAAACTGAGTTCTGATCCTCAACTCCAAATGCAAGCTCAAATTACAAATTAGTTAATTCTAATTCTTTAGAAAATGTAACTCAGGATCATACTTTCTATCTCTGTCTTAAAAAATTTGATATCAAAGTACTTACTACTAATAGAATCAAGAATTATAGAGAGTAGAGCGTCTAAAAAATGATTGTGGTGACTTGCTACTTTTCAAATCATTATTATTGGATCCTGATACCAAAATCTGCAGAAATTATGCACTGACAGAATTAATCAGCACTTATTTCAACTTATTTTTAACTGTTGGGTTCTGCTTCAGTCTGTTATACACAAAAACTAAATATGGAAGAACTAAGTGGAGTACCATGATTACTCCATTATGATTAAATATCATACTACCAGGTGGGGGTTTTTTTGAGTCCTTTACTAACAAAGTTCATTGTAAAAGCAGCTCCCATTTCACTGATTATTTTGAAGATTAAAAGAGCAGAGCTGCTAACCATAGCTTCCTTGTGATCCACTGTGTACCACAACTTTTACATCTTTGAACGGACTCGGCTCAAGCTGGCTTCAATTGTTCCGTGTGGTTCATCTGTTGGTAAATATACATCATCTTCAAACTGCAAAAATTATGTGGATCAGCAATATAGGTCATTCCTTTTGTCCTTGTAACAAAATATGCAAAATGAAAGATCCATGGCATGGTCTTTCAAAAGAAGTTGTGCCTCATACTCCTAAACCATTCCCTTCCTCAGACGGAGTTTATTTCTTCTAGCTGAGCATGGTTCCTGTTTGGCACTAATTAACCCTACCTATATTACACCATTCGTAGCCAACTATGCTGGCTGCACTTATTTATTATCTAAAACTCTAGCCTGGTATGAAAATCAATAAAAATGTTCTGAAAGAATTAAATCCAAGGTCTTATAAACTTAAATGGTTTACTCACCTAATTTCCCTATTCCATATTTTCTACTTACGCCGGAGGAGAGGAGATGGGAGGAAGCAGAATGGATGGGCTAGGGGAAGGTGGTTTTCAAGAAATAATCCTGCCTCTTCCACCTCATTTTGTTTGAGCTAGGGCAAATGTTTTTGAAATCAAAGACACTATACTTTTTGAGAAGAATTTTTTTTAAAAAGAAGAACGAAGACACTATATTACCTCTTAAAAGTCCCTAATCAAATTCAGACATGAAAGAAAAAAAAAAACTGATTCACAATATCCTAGTTTGCCTCTTCTAATTTTTCATCCTGAAGTGCTTAGGTTCCTGTCCCTTTCCATGTCTCAAGTTGCAACCATTAACTTTCCACATGCATCAACAGATCAAGAGCACTACCTTGACAATAGTAGGATTATCCTTGCTTGATAGATTAACTGGCAAGAAATGTATATTAGGCATTTTAAGCTGGATTGATGAAATGTCAAGAAACCTGAGAACAATAAGATGATATTTTTTGAGATAAGAGAACAATGAGATAATATAGAATCAATATCCAGAAAGGTACCACGATCATCTAGAAAAAACTGAATGCTATAGTGAGAAACCTGTCCAGTACAGCTTTTGCCATGTCATATAGAGTACTTTGAACAGATGGGCTGTATACTCCCTCTTTTGGAGGGCCAAAAAAGGTTCCTGTCAAAACCTTTTTCACATCCGCATATCTCCCATTGAAGTAAAGAGGCTTGTGAGGAATGCTAGAGACAGAATCAAACGAATACCTGCAACCACAGATAGTTTGGTGTCCTCAAAATGTAGTATTGTACTAATTCATTACAAAAATAAGAAATTTTTTACCTCCAGGATGCTGTGACCTCCGTTGCCAACATCCTCTCTCGTGTTTCAGGAAGAGCTGTGTATTTGTCTCTAATAAACCCTTCAAACCCTGACTGTTCATTAACACAAGCTCCTAAGTAAATGTGATGATGTTTGGAGCTACCGAAAGAAATGTGCTTAAAGTTGTAGGGTCCTTTAAGTTAGTTAAAACAGAAATTGTTTAAAAATTTAAGTAGTCATGTATTTGAATAAAGTAGTAATTGCAAAAAATTAGTTGTATTTGGTAAAGAAATTAACAAAAAATTAGTTGTATTTGGTAAAGAAATTAACAAAAAATTATGTATTTATTAAAAATGTTTTGTAGCTTACATTATACAAGTATTCTTAATTTTGAGATAATATTATAAAGGTACTTAAGTAAACTGATTAAAAAAAAAAACCTCTCAGTTACGAATTAGGCAGTTCATTTTCTATCTTATTAAAATCTTTAAAAATCTAATAAGCATTGTTCTTTTTATATTACCATACGTAAACATTAGATAAAATGATTAAAGCTGATAATAAGTAGCAAGCAAATGGCACAAAACAACCTAATTTTATATTTGATTCAAACTTATTCTATTAATGTTCAATTTTAAGATTTTAGTAATTAATATGCAGAAAATAGTTATAATTTACAAATTGGTATATAATTGAATATATTTCACTCATATCTTTAATCCCATAAAGCCATGTATTCATATTCCAAATTGTCAAGGTAGTAATCACAAAAGCACCAAACTTGAATTGACATGAAATTGACTTTGAATTAGAATATTATTTTATTTAAATTTCTATGATATTTGTATTATATTCTCATTCTTATTGCATAGAATTGTAATTCGAATCAAACCCAGGCTGATATATAATCACATTGTCAATCATATCAGATATATTTGCAAATAGGCCACATGTGCTTTGTAATTACATATGAAGCACAAGTCTTCTTTGTTCCATGTTTCTTTCAATGTTCTTTTTCCTATTTCCCCCATTGAACAGATATTACCTGTTGGGTTCCAAATTTTAAAATTCTGAACTCTGGTCAGCTCCAAAATTTTCAAAATCAAAAAGAGATATAACAAGACAAAGAAATAAACTATGAATATAACAAGACGAAAAAACAAACAATGAAGTACCATGACCAACAAAAAAATTAAGGGTAAAGTACATACTCATCCCCTCAAATTCAAACTTTTTCTTTTTTTATGTGACAATTCAATCCCTAGTTTGATTTTTTCTTTATGTTACATAACATTTTTAATTTTTAAAGGATATTGCACGTTTTTAGACTTCTAAAATAAATCTAAGGCTAGACAATTGAAATTAATAAGAAAAAAAAATATATGTATATAGATATATATAAAACAAGAGCCTCAATGTTTTGATCTTTCATAAAATGATTTTTTTTAAAAAAAAACTAAACCACAAATATTGAATTGTCATAGAAAAAAACCACAAGGTTTGAATTTGAATAAATACAAATAACAAAGGGTGAAAGGTGGTTTTCCCATATTTAAATACAAGACCTAAAAGAGTCTAGGTACATGCATGATCCTAGCATCCATAAATCTCAAAGAATGTAGACATAGAAAGAAAACTAGCAGCCTACTTTATTTTCATTTTTATGCCATAGTATGCATTGAAATAAGTAGTAGTGCGCAAATAAGACCTCCAAAATATAACCTCTTGTATGCAATATTCTATTTATCGGCAAACAAAAATTACATGCATCAACAAAATTAATATTGTGAGAATTCCTTACTTTTCTTTATAATTTATGCACTAATTTTCATATTATTGAACTTTAATTTGGATGTTTCTGTCGAGTTTAGATTTTTCTATATTGCGCTTTTGGGTTTCAAATAAAAATAATAATATTTAATTGTATTTTAATAAATATACCAATATTTTTGTTGGGAACACAAGCAGAAAAATAAGAAGAAATTAATAAGAAATTAGCTAATTAGTAGATAGATGTATCTGTTGTGTTATGTGTGTTGTTTATGGGTTTATTAGATAGAGGTATGTACTGCATTATGTGTGCTGTTTTGTGGGTTTATAGGCTGTATTTTTATGAATCATCTTGCGTGTTAGTAGGAGAAAATTAGGAAGAAACAGGTGAAAATTTATGCTGTTCTGGAGAGTAACTTCCAGAATAACTGCTCTTTGTTTTGTGTATATGTATTATATAGTAGGATGTGTATAGGAGAAGGGAAAAAAGAGTGAGGCTAAGATAATATGGGTAGTTGAGTAGTTATAATAATTTTGGGAAATAACTCACAACATGATTGGTTATCTTTGTATTAAAATACCAAGCTGTCTTTATGGACAGATTATGGATGAAGAAAAATTTATCAAGTTTGGAGTACTTTTCTTATTCAAGAGATCATTAGTTCTCTCATAACGAACCCATACTATAAACAAAATCTCATAACTGGATTCATTGATAGGGACTGTGACAAACTGGCACCAAAGCCAATCGTTATGGGTGAATTACAGTTCATTTTTGAGAATCTTTTGAAGATATATAATGAACACTGGGAAAAGAACATGTCAAAGTTTGAATTTTTAGCGAGTCGATTAGAGGAGTAATCAACCCATCCTGTCCTGCGGGAGACCAGTGAAAGAAGCAGTCAAACCGATCACCCTCAACCATGCGACGCAAGACCCCCACAAATGCAGACCAGTCAAAAACCACCACACAATCTGCAAGACACCCAAAGGCGTGATCTGCACAACTCAGAACATCCATCTCGGTGTGCTCCACGCAATTGCACCTTGTGCGCACCCACAGCCTGGTGCAACGCGTGAGCATCCTTTCTGTCACGTTTTACAAAACTGAATTTTTTCAGGTTTGTTGGTCCAAAAGCTTAACAAATACCATGAGTTTGGGCAAAATATATGAACAGAGAACAGACCGGTTTAAGGTGTTATTGAAGTGTTTTTACTTTGCTGCGTCTGTTCCTGGATGTGCACCACAGCCACCACTAAATTTTAGTCTTGGATGTCCTCCAGAGCAGCATGCCACTGTAATGAAGAGGCTATTCCTTCAGGAGATTGATCATCAGCAAGTGCGAAGATTATGTTTTAATTGATGAAAAATTTGAACTGGATCACTGCTGTAAAAGGTTGTTCTGGTTAAAAGTGGAAGTGCACTTCGGCAATGGAGAAAATTCTGAAATTCCAGCATTGTAGAACCAGAAAGAGTAGCACAATAGCAGTGGCAGAAATTTGAACTTTATGACATGCGCCATCTTGAGGGGGGAAACTGATGTTAGGAACACAAGCGGAAAAATAAGAAGAAATTAGGTGAAAATAAGAAGAAATCAGGTACTTAGTAGATAGGTGCATCTGTTGTATTATGGGTGTTGTTTATGGGTTTATTAGATAGAGGCATGTACTGCATTCTGTGTGCTGTTTTTCCGGGTTAGATGTTGTATTTCTATGAAGCATTGTGAGTGTTAGTAGGGGAAAATTAGGGAGCAATAGGTGAGAAGTTAGGCTCTTCTAGAAAGTAACTTTCAGAATAACTACTCCTCTTTGTTTTATGTGTCTATATGCTATACTGGTGAAAAGTAGAATGTGTATAGGAGAAGGGAAGAAAAGGTAAGGCTAGGATAAGAAATGCGGGTAATTATGACTTAGTTACAATAATTCCGGAAAATAATTTCCAACATAACTGGTTCTCTTTGTATTAAAGGACCAAGCTGTCTTTGTCAGCAGACCATGAATGAAGAAAAATTTATCAACTTTTGATCAATTTTTTATCTTTTCTCAGTCAAGAGACTGTTGGATTCTCTCTTAATAACTTTATTAACAAAATCCCATAACTAGATCTGTCAGTAGGAACTGTAACAATTTTAAATCAAATGGAACAGATAAATTGAAATCGGTGGTCAGGCAGGGCATTCCACTGAATGTAGATGGATTCAATTTTTTTTATCCACCGAATTCAAGGATGCAAGAAATGCAATGGGGTGGGTATGGGGGAAATGTTCCACATCTCATAGCGTTCTTGTCATTCACATCCCAATTTAGTGCTCTTGTCATTCATCTCCTAATTTTTCCAGAGAAGAGATGGACCAGAACCTACTCTCACTCCGAATAAAGAATTATATATATGGGCGATGGTTTCCAAGATCTTCTATCAGAATATAGAGCATATTTTACTGTATTTTTTTAATAAAAAAGTGTGAATAAACAAAGCACCAAGGGGGTGTAACCCATATACAAAAGTATCACATATTTGTTAAGTAGTCTATTACGTACCCAAAATTGTCCACCCTATACAAGTCATATCCAAGAATTAACGATCCAAATAAATGCAACCACCTATCCCAAATCTTAAGCATATCATTTTCTTTCCCTTCAAAAGCCCTCCTGTACCTTTCTTTCCATATGATCCAAAAAACAGTCAATGGAATAAGCATATTATGCTTCCTATCTTTTCTCCTCAAACCCACCCAAGCCCACAACTCCTCCCTCACCGAACCCGCCACCACCCAGCTCAACCCCCCCAATCTGAAAATCATCGCCCACAGCTCCTGGACAGCAGAACAGCGAAGAAGCAGGTGGTTGCAGGACTCCTCCTCCTTCTTACACATAAAGCATCTGTTTGCCATCATCATGCCCCTTCTCATCAATTTGTCACAAGTCAAAATACAATTTCTGCATTCTTCCCAAGCAAAGAAAGAGATCTTAGGAGGGGACTGAGCTTTCCAAATCATTTTGGACAGAAAAGTCCCATGGCTGCTGTCATTCTCCCCCAAAATATGCTCATAATAAGATTTCACAGTAAATAGTCGCAATTTTTTTTAAGCTTCCAGATCAGTTTGTCATTACAGTCGCTCATCGGGGTCCTGGACAGCCAAAGCAGAAGGTCGTCAAACTCCTCCACCTCCCAATCATTAAGATTTCTGGAAAACACCACATTCCAACCACCCTCACCCCCCGCCCCCTTGCAAACTTCTTCCACTTTGATGTTTTTATTACTCGCCACTTCAAAGATTTTAGGAAAATGATCCTTGAGACAGCCCCCTTCATTCCACTCATCCAACCAGAACTGGATATTATTATTGCCATGCCAAGCTTCCATTTAATGGAATTACTCCAGGTCTGGCAACCCTCACTAATCTTCTTCCATAGACTCATGCCGTAAGGACCTCTAATTCCATGGCAACCACCTCTCCCACTCCAAGAACCCTCATCTCGCCTCCACAACCCTCTTCCATAACCTGTCCTCCTCCGTAAGGTATCTCCACAACCACTTCCCATGTAAAGCCATGTTCATCTCAATAGAAGATTTAATACCCAAAACACAGCACACCAAAGGCTTTTTGACCTCCTTCCAATTCACAAGATGAATTCTTCTCCTATCATCCTCATCTCCAAAGAAAACGGCATTGGATTCTTTCTAATTTTTTGACAATTGAGACCGGAATTGTAAGGGCCAATAAGTAATAGATAGGAATATTAGAGAGAGTTCTCTTCACGAGGGCGAGCCTACCACCTTTAGATAAAACATTCCTCTTCCATGTGGCTAGCCTTCTCTCAAACATTTCAACAAACCGGATCCCAACTACCTTTCTCTTTAGCAGCTTTACACCCAAGCAGATCAGCAAAGACATTTGCATCCTCCTCCCTCCCAAAGCATACTAAATCAGACTTTTCCATATTAATATTAAGTCCCAATACCAACTGAAAACATTGCAGCACAGCTCTTAAGTTCTGCACCATCTCCACATTCGGTTGGCACAAAATAATCGTGTCATCCACAGAAAATAAATGGGAAACTTCCACCTGCTGCAAATTTTTACCCACCCACACACCTCTAAAGAGCTCGTACTCCTTAGCCCTCTCCAATATCCTATTAAGAACTTCCATTACAAAAATAAATAGAAGTGGTGAGAGGGGTTCCCCTTGTCTACGCCCACGGGTAGCATTGAAAAGATCATATTTTACTGTATAGTATTCTCTTACGAATTTTCTTAGATAGGTCTCCTTCTACGTAGTCACTTTCCTCCTTAGTCCTTTTGGATGGACCTATATGTACTTTATGCCCAAGACCTACGTAGATTTCTGTCCAACATGTACAAAAGACAATATTTTTTGGATAAAAGCACCTAAGCAGATAATTCTTATAGTCAACTAAACTGGAATATTATACAAATATTCACAGGTTTATTGACACACACCAAAAAGAAAAAAAAAATTATAGTTCTGTGCAATCCTATTTCATGCAATCTAGTTTTTTAAAAAATACCTCAAAAATGATTCACACTATAGGACATGCATAAATGGGGAAGTCTACCTGGGTTGTCTTCAACAAAGTTAATCCTTCAATGCCTGAAGTTAACTGCAGAACAAGTGACTTCTGTACTATTGCCTCCACAACATGCCTCTCAGATCCAAGTCTAAAACCTAAATTGAAAGACATTGGAAAAGAGTCAATTAAGTGCAATCTGTATGTAGGAAAAGAGGCAAACTAGCACAATCTATTCATAACTAGCCAAACCAATGTACAAAAAAAATGGCTGTGGATAGCATGCCATTAAACTGAAAACACATGAAAATTTTGACAGTTTTACTAGCAGACAGTATATTTGTTAAATATTTGAAACATTAAAAGCTTTGAACATAGATTGGAGGAACTAAGACTCCTCTTTGAAAACCTTTACAAGGTTTCTAAATGATGTAGGGCCCTGTGGAAATATTGTTGTTGTTCCAGATCTCTACTGTAAACTGAAAAATGGATTATGCACAGTACTGTACAAGTTACTCATTGGAGCAAACAAACCACTGAAAGAACTGTGACAACACAATGATGCCATGGACATCTCTCTTCTTCAATAAAAAGGGGCAACTTTACTTGGAATAAGATATCACTTTGGAAAAAGATATCGAGAACTGCAGTAGCTTTCCTATAGATGTCTTGAAAATGGGTCCGCAACAAATATAGTTTGAGCCCAAAAAGAAGAAGCTCTTTTTGCAAAGGAGAGAATGTCTCAAAAACTGTAGTTTTCAAGGAAACAAGCAGAACTGCTGGAGTGAAGAAGCTTACAAGCTCACCCAAAACCAACAGATAACATGGAATAAGAAGGAAAATAATAGTTGAACATTGCTTATTCCAGTCATTAGTTAGTAATCCTATTGAAAATATTCATGTAAAAAATGAGGTCAAGAATTGAATAATTAACTGAGTAACATAAGAAATAAAGATCTTACCAAACAACTAGAGAAAAACTTAACCAATTTTGAGCAATTACACTCATTTTACTCTTTCTAACTTTATAAAAGTGAGGAAAAGGATAAATCTATTTGGAGAAACATGGTTCTTTTTGGGTTTTGAGTCCACCTTATGCAGCACATGGGCCTGATATAAGATGAGGATAAATTTCAACCATTTACAGGCAATAACCTTCTGAAACCCCAAACCTCCTTTGTGGAAGAAAGAGAAGGAGGTAACCCAACTAATGTCCTTTAGTCTTGGAGAAATGGAGATAGCGCAAATAAAGTTGCAAATATTATTAGTTAATGCTTAAGGCATAATTGAAGTTCCAAAATGCATCTCAAGCAGAATTTAACCTCTAGCAGTTTCCAATTAGAAAACTAATATAAATACCAAAGGCAAGGAAGAGAAAGAGATCAAAAAATGAGCAAATATAAGTAAAAACGAAAGAATAAGCAATTGGGATAACTTCAGAAAAATAACAGTGGCATGGTTTCGCTAATGAAAGTATTGAATATGACACTAATATTCTTGAATAATGTCCGTGTATAATGCAACAAATGAACCTTAGGCTTCTCCAAATATTTTTGCCACTTACAACACCGTGTCAATCACCAAGTATACTCCCTTTTTTCAGCAAGGAAACAATTTTCAATTCTGTTACCATTTCTCCCAATTATATATTTACGCATGACTCATCCTTTACAGTCTTGTCTAAAAGTTTTTGAAAAACAAAATCATGCATATTGCTCACCCCTGTCAAGAAAACAAGTAAACAGAGACTCAATCACTAATTAATCCTTTTCAGATATTGAAAAAACTAACCATGATTATGAGGTTGCCTGTCAACAGTGACACGTACCCACGGCTTTTCCACTATCTTTATTATGGCAGTAGTAACCTGGGAGGTAAAAGACAATGCCGATAACTCAAACGATACAGTTCTCTATTTTCATGGAACATGATGCATGATAAGTTACATATATTTCAGTACTTTATACTCCGGTTATTAAGTGAATCTAAGAACTCATCAAAACTCTAGCGAGATCTACGTAGCAGTTTGTTAAGATTCCAGTGCACTTGTGATTAAAGTTTAAGCTATATAAAGTAAACTTAAAACAATCCACAGGTTAATTTAGTAGTCATCCAAAGATGTTTAATAGCTGATGCAGTATAAGAAGTAAGGACATGTCAAATAACATGTGCGTCAAAGATTGTGGATGATCTATTCTTGACCTTCATCAAAATTAGTAAGAAATTTCAATTCTTCGTGTTAGGTGAACTTAAGAATCTGAAAACCCGTCATCTGAATTAAAGTATTTTAACTTGAACGACCGAATTTTCTTTGACGTTCAAATAACCTTTATGATGTCAAAATCTGATTATGATGAAGAAAAAAAAAAACAACCTCATTATGATAAAGCCAGAAGCTGATTTCATTGATAATGAAAGTCAATGGTCATTTTGATGTCATAGTTGGTAATCAAATAAATCCTTAAATCTCACAATGAAATCACAACCATTAAAATAAGTCTAACAGAAACTTAGAAAAAAAGAACACTTCTACAGCGCGATGAATATCATTAACAGTATTATGCTATAGTAACATAACCAGTACTGTTACGGTTTCTTCCCTTTTTCTTTTCCTTTCATTCAGTTCTGAAATAGATACTAGTAAAATGAAGGACATAATTATTTTTTCAGGTAATAAAGTACGACCATGTGCTTAAAATCCATAGAGATCTAGGAGTGTCTTCTTCAAGACACTTGACGCCCTTCCTCTGTTCTTATCTGAATCTCTATATTCTAAAAATGGGTGCAAACCAGATTATAGCCCTTACAAAGAGCTTTTTTTTCTTTAAATTTTTACTCTCACATTCAAGGAGGCAAAAATTGTCTCAAAAGCACTACAGAATTTCCCCTAAAATTATGAATCAACCCGAAGTGTAACAACCGTTTCTGTGCCTGTCATCAATCATATATATGACTCACATCAACAGGGAAGCATTTTACTGTTCTCCATGTACTCCAGAACAGTAAAATAATGAACCACGAATTATTTTCGTAAGACCGTACGACATACAAGAAAGTTACCTCACCTGGTAAGAAGGATAAAATGGACAACAACATAAGAACAAAATGATGAAACAAAAAAATTATAACCAAACATATACTACATCCATGCTGAGATCTAACCGACACTGTTCTCCATGTACTTCAGAACAGTAAAATAATGAACCATGAATTATTTTCGTAAGACCGTACGACATACAAGAAAGTTACCTCACCTGGTAAGAAGGATAAGATGGACAACAACATAAGAACAAAATGATGAAACAAAAAAATTATAACCAAACATATACTACATCCATGCTGAGATCTAACCGACACATACTTCCTATTCCAAAGAATTGAAGAAACCAACATACACATAGAAAGGAAGTAGTATAGCTCTACGATCAACTCTGAAATTTATAAGAAAACATAAGAAAGAAAACAACGTATAATTTTTACCTGCTGGTAAGACGATGTGAAGTGTTTGCCAAGTAGAATAGCAAAGTCCTCTACAGAAAGTTGTTCTGAACATTCCTTGGCTTTCGCATATACCTATATTACATCTCACCATGAATACGACTCAATCAGACTATAAGATTTTAATTTAATACGTACAAGACCAAATTAATACAGAGAGAGAGAGAGAGAGAGAGAAAAAAAGAACCGTTGATCGGATACCACCAGAGTTTATATACACATCACCAAGCTAATAAAATAGGGGGTAACCATTAACACAAACTAATTAATTAAATCCGTTTGCACCGATTTTCCGATCGCACAGGGAAAAACTCATTAATTTCAGGAAAGACTGACTCCGAAATCGTCGATTAAAGTGACGATGTGTCATTAGATTATTCCTTTTGCTATACTTTCTCAGTCTTCATAGTTCAAATTAACCGAAATATAGAAAAGAAAAAACAGAGAGAGAGAGAGAGAGAGAGAATAATACATACAGTGTTTTTCATAGTATCGGTGGCAACTATGTCGGAGTTGTCTCCACGAACATAAGCATTGAGGCAGTGAGAGAGCAAAGTGATGTTAACGTTCCACTCGACCATGAAATGGCACCCATCTCGACCTCTCCAGACCCTAGCCACTCTGACTCTGGATTTGCCATGACTTTGCTCCAAATTGAGGTTAGCTACTTGCGCCATCATGCTCTCCACTCCACTACTCAAGGTTTTTCTATGTGTTGGTTCTAGATCTCTTGGCGTTTCTCTGTTTGCATGAAGTTGGATTTTCTGCAAAAGCTCAAGTGGAGGTCCAAGATGCGAATGGAGAGGAATATATAAATAATATGTAAGCTGTAAGCTGAAGCTCCTTCCATGGTGGTGATGACTTGTTTTATGTTATGTTATGTTTTTTTTTTTTAGTGATTGATATTATTATTATTATTTTATTTCTTTTTCAAAAAGTTTCAAATGAATTAAAAATTATAAAACATAAAATAATTTTTTTTAATTGCAAGGAAACTTTTCGATCAGTTTTGCTGTCTTAAATTAATTTTTTAATTAATGAATACTCTTTTTTACATTATTTTAATATATTTCCTTATTAATTTAATTCATAAAATATTTGATAGTAATGAGAATAATATTTGATTGAGAGGAGAATAAAAAGAATATGCTACCACAAGAACATTTTAAAAAAATGGTAATTCTACTTTTTCTTCTGGTAAGTACACTTAAAAAATTAGAAATTTAGATTGCGAGATGATTAATTTAGTGGAGCAAAAGTTGTTGGTTGTTAAGAAAATTATGTTTTCATAAGTATATTGTTAATTGGAAGTTTAGAAACTTACCTATATCATTAGACTTCATTATTGGGTATATGTATGTATTTATTAGTGGAAGAATAAGGGTTTACTTTAGATTAGTTACTCACAGTCTTGTTGTATCATTCAAATTATATGATCTCGTGAAAATACAATCTTATTCTTAAGATTTGATATTTGAAATTAGTGTAGTTTGGTGCAGCAGCTTTCATGCATAAATAATATATTATAAACTTTTTACTTTGGTGAGTTAGTGTAGCTTATGATAGTGTAGAAAGCTATGTAAGATACCTTCATTGTTATACTACTGCATGTAGTAAGATCTTTTTTTTAGTGTCAACAAAAGATATTCATGATAATTAATTTGAAATATATATATATATATATATATATATACACATTTTAAACAGCTTTTTCTTCCTCTTTTTCCTTTTTTTATTCCTCAAGTCATGCTCCTTCCAATTAAATCTCTCTCCCTATCACTTTTAAACATCTAAAATCTCAACAAATAAAAAGTTATTAGGAAACCTTCTCCCTTTATCTTCTCCAACGCAACATTCCCTAAATAACTAAATCATAACTTTTTTTTTTTTTTTTTTTTTTTTTTTTTTCGTGCATTTCATATAATGTGTTGGATCAAAATTAACATCTCTAATAAAATTATTTACTTTCTATAATCATTTATCTCATTTAAATCTACTTATTGTTAATTATCTTCTCCAAATCTTATATATTTTTATATGAAAACTCACTTTTTTATGTGTAATGTTTAATAACTGATGGTAAAATAAAATTTTTTACGTAATATGAGAAGTTTATATGTATTCTACTCTTTTAAAGTTTTAAACTTAATAAGGAATTAGTTTGTGTTCCAAAACGGATTATGTCCAATGAAGTTCCATTTTTCAGTTGTAATTTTATCTCTCTTTGTAATATAATAAAAATTGAAAGTTTTGGTAATCAATTAACCCGAAGTTTTAATCTCAATTTTTTTAAAAAAAAAAAAATTTTAGATATTACTTTATTTCTATTAACTATAATTTCTATTATACTTTTACATAAATTCTTATTTCGTCTCATAATGTATTTCACTTTATTTATGAACTGTTAAAAAAATTTGAATAAAGTGATTTGAACTCACTAATTGAAGAGCAAGAAAAGAGAAAGAGAGATTAAAAAGTTTCGTCGGAAATTATTTGTCTTTTGAAATTGGAATAGTGATTATAAAGTAATTATAGAATTAACATTTACATTTGTTTGCTCTTTGGGTAGCTGTTGATGAAGAAGTGTAAAAATTTTAAATGTAATGTTTTGCAAAAGTTTTCCATTAAAGGAGCTACAATTCTATAGCTATTGATGTGCAAGCTTAATTAGAGGCTGAAATTGTTTGATAAGGAAGGCTCAGAGAAAGCAGGAAAGAAAGCTCTGTTTATGAGATCAAAGGTATAATAAAGGTCACATATAGAGTTTTGAATATGAATAGATAAATATTTCTTTAGATTTGGTTTCTCACTTTTGCTTTAAGTTTTTTTTTTTTTTTTTTTTTTTTTTTCCAAACTCTTTTGGAGTGAAAAAATTCATCTATTTTAAATATTAAAATTAAAAAAAAAAATTCTAAAGTAAATGTTTCGTTTCAAGTTAGTATTCGGTTAAATTTAACACAATATAAGCAAGCAACAAAACCTATTGAAAAATAACAGTATACACCTGGCTTTTCTTCAACACGTACAAACGCACATGCATACATATATTATGATGACGTATGTATATGTATGTATATAAAGAAGCAGCCTCCCAGTAGCCCATTAATATGTATATGTATATAAAACTTGTCTCCTCCTGTCGTCTTCTTTCTTCATTCCCTACTTTATATACATGGCATTATAATTATTTGAAATATTTCGAGTCAATGTTAATTTCGAACTAACCCATTTTCTTGAACTCTGGTTGGATGCTTCTGACTACTGTCTTCAAGCAAATTATAGAAATATGCTCAACCAAAACAAGAAATAGATTATTTCAAATTGCAACTAATAAAAATTCTTGAGCCTTTTTTAAGGTAATTGTGGAAACCTTATATGTTGAAACAAAAAAAGTCTAATGCATTCAGAAAGAAAGAGAACAATAATCAGCCAAAGAACCTGAAGAGAAAAGTTATTTATTATAATTTAAATAAAATAAATACCTATTTATTCTTATGCTAACTTCTTTAATATTTAAATACCTATTTATTCTTATGTTAACTAACAATGTATATAATAATGAACCCTTCATTTTTGCTCTAACTTTCATTTCTTTTTCTTCCGTATACAAAACTATTGCTGTTAAAAGAAAATTTAAATTTCAGCTTATTTACAAAATTTGTACTATTTTTTAAAAATAAATCCTAGAATGAATGAATATATATATATATATTTACAAAATATATATATAATAAGAACATATTTTCCTAAATAGATCTACCATATTTAAATTTCTCTGGTAACAACAATATTAAAGCCGAACAAGTCAATGTCGTTTCTCCCAACTGCATTTTTGTTCTTATATAAACTAAACTCTTCTTCAACAAATGCATTTTTGTCCTGCGAGCATTTATATTTGGAACTGAAAATTCTCTACAAAGGGAAACTATCCTCACTATATATCTGGTTTCCAATATGTACTTGAGTAATATCATTATTTACTGTAGGTAATACAACAAACAGAAGCACTCCAGAAAAAAGCATATAACACCTCACCAGTTATTTCTACATTGTGCATGGTGTGAATTAACAACATACATTTTCTTTTCTCCATGTTAACACCAGCTGAAAGACGTAAAGGGAAAAGACAATAATCTCAGGCAACCACCATCACCCATGTAAACAACTTCTGAGAAATCAACCCGCTAAACAATGAAGGAGGAGTGCCCGCACCATCAGATAAGAATTAAATAAATGTAACCCACCTTAATCTGAGAGACTGGAGATCCAGCTAAAATTATCTCTTGGGTTCATTCACATTCTTTCCTTCAAAAAATTCACCCAACATCCGCTCTAGATCCTCAGCACTGTATCTGATGTACTTCTGTGGGTTCTTCCCATTCTCCACTAGAGGTCTGTAACACCAAAAATTGCAAGGATACAATTACAATAATGTCCGAATTAATGGAACCTCTATAACGTGAAAAATTGACGTTAGATTAATTCAGCTTCAGTATATTTTGTTTGTATATATGCTGTAGCACTTGCAAGAATGTGGTAAACTTTGTGTTACTAAAATAACATGCATACGACATGTTTCACATATTGTTGATAGACAAAACCTTT